GCACACACAGAGACACACACGTGTGCACACACACACACAGTATCCCAAAAGTCTCAGTGCACTTTTTTCTGTTTTTGAGGAAGATGAGCCCTGAGCTAACATCCACTGCCAATCCACCTCAATGCTGCTGAGGAAGATGGCCCTGAGCTAACATCCGTGCCCATCTTCCTCTGTTTTACATGTGGGATGCCTGCCACAGCATAGCTTGATAAGTGGTGTGCAGGTCCGTGCCCGGGAAGCGAACTGGCGAACCCTGGGCCTCTGACGTGGACGGCACAAACTTAACCGCTATGCCACTGGGCCAGGCCCCTTAGTGCAGTTTTAAACTTTCATAACTTCAGAAGTAGAAAAGCTACCAACTTACAAAAAACATGATGTGAAAGCTCAATTATTTAAATTTCTTCTATACTTTCACACTATATTTACTATACTATACTTCTATACTAGTTTTGTGAATTTTTAATAACATGTTTAATTTTAATTTTTTGTTTCAGTCAACATCCACCATCTTCAATCGGAGAAGCTGAAAGGTTTTATAACATACAATATTATAAAACATACATACAGCCTACATACATACAGCAAATGAGCCACATCCTACAACAAGCCTGCTGTCAACTAAAAGTAATTTTCATGTGCTACTATTTAAACTACATTGCTCCTAACCAAGCTTGTAGAGTTGGCTTCTTTGTTTTTAATAAAAAATTCCTAGAGCACTACTTTTTGCTTATACTAATTCAATCTTATTTTCTTAGATACAATCCGTCTGTTAAAATCCCTGCAGGTCCTCATTCTGTCTTCCACCATATTAGCCTCCCCCCCCCCCCCCCCCCCCCCAGATTTCATCCATACCATCCACATTCTCAAACGGGCATTTCTAACCATGATAAAATATACAGAATCCAAGACAGAACCCCATGATGTGATTCTCACCAAACAGTCCCTCCTTTCAGGACCTTATGGGCCAATAGAATCTCCTCCAGCATATTCAACAGCAACCTATAAATCAGTACCTTTTGGACAGGACGGTTCAGTCAATTAAATATATAACCACCTATATCATTCAGATATATTTTCATCTTAGTCAAAGGGATTTCAAGAGGGGCTCTGTCAAATGCATTGGTGAAATTCTTAGAGCATCCCACAGCATTCCTCTGATCCACCAGGTGAGTGACCCTATCTATGAAAGATGAGGGGGCAGCCTTGTCACAGCTCTGCCGTTTATGTGTTCTACTAATTAATATAAAGCTATAACTGTGCAAATCTAAAGGGGGCTCAAACAAACAAGTAAAAATGAGTTTACTTGTAACTCAAGTTCAAATAAAATCTGCATGACTTCAAACAACATCCGCTGTGGAATGAATTGTGTGCCCCCAAAAAGACAGGGCAAAGTCCTAACCTTGGTACCTGGGAATGTGACCTTATTTGGAAATCGGGTCTGTGCTGATGTGATTATGTTAAGATGAGGTCACACCGGATTAGGTGGGCCCTAAATGTATAACCGGTGTCCTTAAAAGAAGAGGAAAATTCGGATCCACAAAGAAGAAGGCCACGTGAAGGCAGAGGCAGAGGTTGGAGTGATGCTCAACAAGCCAAAGGATGCCAAGGATTGTCAGCAGCCGACAGATACTAGGAAGAGGCACAGAAGGATGCTTCCCTAGAGCCTTGAGAGAGAGCACAGCCCTTCCTATACCTTGATATTGGACTTCTGGCCGCTACAACTGTTGGAGAATCAATTTCTGTTGTTTTAAGCCACTCAGTTTGTGGCACTTTGTTATGGCAGGCATAGGAACCTCACACAACATCTAAGCAAAAGAACTAAGTAGGTTTGAAGCAATGCCTATTAACATCAGAATCAAGAGCACTCAGGAACTGGTAAAAAGAAGAGGATGAAAGATTTTAGATTCCTGAGCAGGCAGCAGGGATGAGGTGAGTGGGTGAAGAAACTGGCCAAGCAGGTTTGGGGGGCATTGACTTTGGGGCCGGGGGGCCAGACAGGTGACATCCTGCGACAGGCTCATCACCAAGGAGTTCACTGTCCCTCCCAGGTATGAGGTAGGCATTTCTCAACAAACTCCCATCCCTTTTTCACGGCAACAAATCACAAATTTGTCAGTTTATCATCAATATATCAGCAAAACCATGTTAAGCTTCCTGTCTCCAATTTGGCATTTTCCTTGACTATGTTTCATCATTCTAAATTAGACAGCAAGCCACGCAGGGAAAGGATCTGCTGGCCTGTCTATCTCTATATATAGTGCTGTATCCACCATTTTCAAAGGTGCTAAGACTCCACTGATTGATGACGGTATTGCTAAAATGGTTACATTTTGAGCTGGAAAAAGGGGGGCATTTTTTTTCCATGTGAAAACTGATGGGAGGAAGGAGGCTCCCTCACAGTTTCTAATATTGATCTGGCTCCAGTGTCGCCCCATGACATGCACATCTATAATGGCAAAACTCCTCACTGGAAAGACCTTAAGAGCTGTCTCCAGGAGCTTTCCCAGCAGTAATTAGGGGGATGCATTATTGCTAATCCTGAACACACTGGGAGCTGGGTTAATTTTGAAAGATAAAATAAAACGCTGCCTTGCAGCAAAAGACCACTTCTTGGTGCCATTAAATCAACCAGAGCCCCGCACGAGTATTAATTCTTAGGATGTCTGTACCCCCTGCTGATGCTCCTTTTAGGAAGTTGCTACGGTACAGGCCAAATGAAGCCTCAATGTGCAAATACCATTTAGCAAGTACGGATAAGCTGGGCTAAATCATGCTCAGAGCACTTAAAAAGACTCAAATTTTAATACATTAGCACAAGAACATGCTGTACAAGCAACGGGGAAATTGCAGTTGTCAACGTGTGAATTTAGTCTCCGGGTAAGTTCATCCAAGGAAGTAAAATCCCAATTTAGATTCTTCTTCTGCCCCCTCCCCCAATCCACGTGTTTCTTCCAGGATGGAGGAGGACTCTGTTACTCAGCAAATGTATTTCACACCAAGAAATGGTTAGGGTATATTCATCAGGGGAAAGGATGTGAAATTCTCACTTTCTTACTAAAATAGTTTGAAGCGGTCCTTCAAAAGAGCCAAACCATACATTATTGGCAAGGTGTCCTGACGAAAATGTGCACAAGGACTGCTGTGTAGATAGATAGATAGATAGATAGATAGATAGATAGATAGATAGATAGATAATCTGTGTGTATTCTTTTTAATGAGAAAGGATTCTAAAGGGAAATCACAGGAGATTTTCCGCTGTCCCTTTCAGAAAGCCTGCAAGCCCATCATCCCAGGTGAATCTGAGTAGGCTGCAGCATCCTGGGTTGAGAGCACATGGTCAGCAGGGAAAGCCCAGCCCCACGGCCTCTCAAGCCGGGCTAGGTGGAGGAGAGGCCCCAAGTCTACCTGGGGGCTCAATAGAGTCGAAGGACTTGGGGATCCCAGGCCAACACTGCTAATCTGAAACTGAGCTTATTCCAGCTTGAATTTGACAGGCTGTTTCCTATATCAAAGCAACAAATGAAACTTTCATTTCAGAACACATCTGTTCTCTCGGACCATTCTATCAGAAGCAGCTATTTTCTTTAAATTGAAAGTCAAGGCAGTTTATTTTTCTCAAAACTGCTGTCGGCTCTTCTGTCTGACTCCGAACAATTCACTTGTTCTGCACAATGGCAACGCTGTCATAGCCTGAAAAAGGGGTGTGATGGGGAGAGGCCCTCCCCAAGGATACTGTATGCGTGACAAATTTACATAAATCTTTGACCCTAAAAGACACGTCTATCAGAGATAAAGATAGGATGTATTTACAGGAAACTTATTCAGAGGAGATACCAAACCAGTCTTCCAGTTAGGACCTTCGAACCCAAACAACTCAAATCTCTTCAAACGACACTTCTATCATGTTATCTATCATATCGTATATACTTTTATTGGGCATTTGAATTTTTCATGATAAAGGGGCACTCTTTCTTATCCCTCCCTACATTTAAAAATGACCTCCCTAGCATATTTTGTAGCATATTTAAACGCATGTAGCTATGTTTATATGCAAATAATATAGATACTCTTTGTGAATGTACATCAGCAGTGTTAGAGTGGGACCACTGCATTCATTACATCACCTACTCTATTATGTTAGTGCTCAAAAATTTCCTATCCACTTTGTCAAAAGCTTATTAATTTGGTTTTTTTTGCATTCATCTAAGCAAAAAATTCATTATCACTTCAAAAAGCATTTCCAACTATCTGGAATTTGAATTGTCAATAAATGTGTAATATTTCCCTCATTGAACTAGAAGCAATATTATCAAAGAAAGGTCTCTGCTCAGTGCAATAATCTTTTCTGTGACGCTGTTAGATTCTGAGGTGATTTATAGCGTCAAAAAAAATCATTCTTGAAGTCACAACCTTTCATATTCACGTCCTAAGATATGTCTTTCCCTCTTTATCAACTGTCTCTTCTTTATCAATCACAGACAATCACATTTCATTTTAATGGAAGGACCACTACCCTCTTCTCTTTGGATCCCTCACAGATGCTAATAACATACAAATTCTGAAATATTTAAAAGAAAAGGGATACCAGGCCACTTTCCCAGTTAGGAACTAAAGGACGCCACATGAAAGCTGAGCCTAGAAACACACTCAATAATTTTATGCTTATAAATCTGTCAACTATAAATTTTGAGAAAAATATACAATTAAAAATATAGAAATCTGCACCACGGTTTTCTGTAGAACATCAATTTAGTTATGAAATGGTTATAAATTAGCCATTGGTAATTTATTCTTCTAAATGATTTAACCTTTCCAATGATCATTTCATCTGTTTTCTATATAAAAAAAAATCAAAAGAAATCTGAGATATGGAAAAGACAGGCTGGTCAAGGGTCTGAAACTGATTTGGTAGCTTTGGGGTTGACATAATCTTGGCCTGGTGCAGCTCATTTTGGAAAGCTGCCTCAAATTTCCCCTGGTTTTGAACTTTTTTTCCTTACCACTTTCATCTAGCAAGAAATCATCCTGGTAACGGAACTTCTCCGGTCCACATGCAATAAAAATGTCATCGTCACCAAAAAAGTCCTGAAGGCACACCACCTACAAGAGAAAAGCATAGCACTCAGCAAGGGGTCAGCAGAACAGCAATTACACCAACGCATCCCTGCCAGTGGACGTCTGCATAAAGCCACTTCCCGGCTAATGGAATCAACGGGCAGCTTCTCCAGAGGCATTTCAAAAGAAGGATTCGAGCATCTGTTACTAGTAAGAAACATGTTATGTTTCAGTTGTGCAGGAAGACGGGATAAGGAAAATAGAACCGGGAACTGTCACATTTATTACTTGATATATCAATAGGCTATGAAGTGCCCTTTATTTTCATAACAGAGCGAATGCAACAACATGTGGAAAAGGAGCTCCCCTTTATTCCTCTGAATGTAATATTCCTCGACAGCAGTAAAAGTCAGCACATGATTTTAGCAACAAATATGTTTTTTAGTAGCTGATGTCATAGTTCGCACATGATGATCACTGTTTGGGGTAATTAGTGAAGAAAAATACTTGTAGCATAATACGAATATAATGATTTCCTTTAGATGCCTTCTAACTCTAGTTGAAACAAAAATGGAAACTTTCATAAAAGGATAATAGAAATTTTAAGTTATTGCTGAGATTTAGATATGCAGACTATGGCAACCGTATACCTGCCGCTCAGGCTATGTTAAACTTGGAAACTCCCATGCTGCCCGACTTCTTGTAGTCATGCAAAATAAAAGTTTTAAAACAAGCTTTTGATATTTACTCATCTTATTCTCCAATAAGAACTTTAACAGAGCTAAGTGTCATTTTTCAAGTTGATGTGATCAAAATGAATAATTTCAAGCACACTGCTCTCTGTCTTTGGCTATGTGGTGTAATATTTTGTTCACAATATGTATAATAATAACAGAAGGCACAGGCAACACTGCTGACTTCTATCTATTTTCAATTTCCTTTGACCACTTGGAGTGGCCAATTGAAGACACCCATTGAGAGCTGTATGAAATAGACTTTCTAATAGCATTTTCCCTTGGATATCGGAGGACCACAGACAAACCTTCCTGGGGTGGTAGATTTTTTTGGCCCATGTTTAGTATTAGCTCTTGTCTTACTTGTTTGTAGTTCCATCTGCAAGGCACCTCTGGGATTCTGCTCTGTGTCAATCCCTGGTAGCACTACCCTGACAGATCAAAGGTGCTGTAAGCCTTACAGTGGAAAGTTGGGAGAACACGGCATTATTTAGGGTCCCCAAAGGAAATGATGTGCAGGCTTCAGATAGTCTTTCCAAATACTCTCCCATTTCCAAAGAACCCCTTGGCTGAAGTTTGAAGAATGAAATTGCTATAACAGTTTGATAATAACCATTCAGTATGAATGAGGTGCATCTATGGTCATCAGTGCTCATTCTGTCTGTGAAAGTTTGAAAACACAGGTGATTTACAAGGGACGTTGTCATCATCGAGGAAGAAGGAACAAAGGTCTTCAAGAGTGGTCGTCAGAAGCTCTGGATCTTCTACTTGGGTTAAAAACAGTGAATTCAGAACCCACTCTCCATTTCACGCCTCTTTCTGTCAGATTCCAACCGTGATCTGTTCATCTTTACCTTCATGAGACAGCACCCCCACTCCAGCTTTCTTGATCAGTGTGGTGTCATCCCAACAACCCCATAAAGGCCATTTTCATTTTACATGTGTTAAGCTTTCATTGTGACTACTGTATGCCAGTTAACATATACCATATACATACCAAAATGAATCAGACATGCAGGCATGGCTCTCCTTCAGGTAAAAATGTAAACAATTAACCCTAAAAAGCAGCATTTCCTAAAGTGTGTGAGGTTAATAGGTTTTGTGCCAAAAAGGGTTCCAAGGCCAAATAGATTGGGGAAATACTGAGTTTAACTAACGTAAACAAGTTTCTGTCTTTCTGGTCTTCTCAAAATACTTACTGTGCTAATGTACACCACAGCCCCAAAGAGGAAATAGAAAACTCCAGTATTTCCCAAACTTATTGGATTCTGGAATCCTTTTCTGACACAGCATCTCATGGACTAGCATTTGACAGGGTTCCCTTTGGTACTGTGCTGACAGCCATAGATGAAAACACACAAAGGAAAGGACAGTTACCCACTCCCCTCCTGGGCCGCCATATTTCTCTAGCTGATAAATATTTATTTGCTAATGTTTTTACTCATTCAAACATTTATGATGGGCATACTCTGTGTCAGACTCTGTGCCAAACATTATGATGACAAATCTCTGACAGACGGAAAATATTATTTTCCAAAGGAAATTATTCTTTCTTTCCACATAGTCCCATTGTTTGCATTTTAGAATATCAGATTGCTAACCAGATCACATTCATCTACATATGCATGTTTTATGCTACTGTTAAGTGGACAAATAGCTATTATTAAAGCCATAACACATTATAAGCAGGCTGCCAGCCAACTGCTTTCCATCATCTATCAATGACCGTCCTCCAAGCCTGAGACTCAGAGAACAGAACAACGATACAGCTTGGACAGTTTAGGTCCAATTCTGTTGATAAGTGGGAAGTGAAACATGATGAACTTTGATGTTGTCTCCAACTCTAGGATTCCAAGAACTTAAAAGGAATGCCGCAACTGTTCAGGAAAAGTAACTGTCATCATCCAGCACAAAAAGACAGGGAAAAGTCATTTCAGTGCCAAGCAACACGTATGCATTTACCTCTCAATCTTCGGTGATTGAAATCAAATAATTTGTTGAGCTATCAGAAACTGAGATGTTTTCTGTGCTTTCTGCTCTGGCATCATTTAGCTATTGCCCTGCTCACAACCTCCCACCGGGAAGGTGGGTATGGTCAGTAGACCAAATACTGATTTATAAAATTGCTCCCTGTTAGAAGCCTTGGTAAAAGATGTGATAGCAAATGAGGTTTAAAAGCAATGTTACAATGAAGATGGATTTAGGATAATCTGTGCACTTCAATTATCCATGCTTTCACTCTCTATCATTGATCTAGAGGTAGCTATAATGTATTCCATCTGACAAAAAGGAATAACAGAGGAAGATTTACAACCCTCTTCTCTAGACCAATATACTTTGAGAATTTTCATTTAGGCATTACTGTACATTCTGATATCAAACGCTTAGAAAAGGTAGACAAATGCTAAACCAATGTTTTGCAGAATGATCTAATTTTATATATCCACACAGTTTTATTCCTTTCTAAGTTTGAGGTTCTCAAAATGCAGTGTGGTAACCAGCTCTCAAAAATAAGTTTCATTTATGGATTAAAAATCATGCTCCTTGGGGCCAGACCCGTGGCCTGGTGGTTGGGTTTGGCGCACTGTGCTTCAGCCGCCCTTGTTCGCAAGTTCGGATTCTGGGTGTGAATGTATACCACTCATCAGCCATTCTGTGGCAGTGACCCACATATAAAGTGGAGGAAGACTGGCACAGAGGTTTGCTCAGGGCTAATCTTCCTCAAGTAAAAAAAGAGGAAGATTGGCAACAGATGTTAGCTCAGCAAAAAACAGATGTCCCTCAGCAAAAAAAAAAAAAAAAACACACAAATAAACATGCTCCTTGCTACAATGAGATAGTGACGGTTGACCTATTCTTTCACGAAATCTCTGCTCAGTAGGTATCATATGCTGGAAGCATCCACCAAGATCCGATACAGGGAAGATGCAAAGGCAGAGATATCAAGTTTGAGAAAAGAGAGACGTCCAACTAGTGGAGAAGCAGTGGCTTCCTCTACAAGCTTTCCTGTATCACCATCATTCTCCTGGCCCCCAAAAGAGTTTGTATTGTCAGTACCTACTCTTCTCCATTGCCTATGGCCATAAATTCTGCTTCTGCAACATCTCTCAAACCCAGGCCTTTTTCTGTGCCCCCTCCCTTCAGCCCCATCACAGGTCAGTCCAGAGCTTATCCTCCTACCTGTGGCCTTTGATATTTCCTTCTTGTGGATTTTCTCATCTCCATTTCCTTTCTCTCCAGTCCATCCTGTTAATTCTGTTAATCTACTCTTTCTCAGTAAACTTTCAAAATCTCTCTCCAAGGCTCAGAAAAATATCAATGGCTTACCATGATCTAGTTAAAGTTCATTTTCTGAGCTAGCCATTCCAGATTTTTCAAAATCTGGTTCCAACCTACCTTTCCAGCCAACAGTAAAATAGCTATAACATGGCACCTGATACTTAGCAAGTACCTGTTGGATAGATGGATAGATGGATGGATGGATGGACTGATGAATGGACAGATGTATGTAAGCAAGGATTATGCTCTAACCTGAAACATGTTCCAGTTTATCTGCTTTACTTATTCTTCTTGGAAAAGGGCTTTTTTCCTTCTTACTTGCATGGTTTCTGGTATGAATTTTTTTTCTATTTGGTATCCCCTTTGACCTAACTCTTTGCCTATTCAAATCCCTTCTACAACTCAAGACTCAGTTGGAGATTCAAGCCTTACCTTCTCTATCCTCTCCAATCCAAAATGACTCACCCCTGCCCTGAACCCCTAGTCATCATTCAATTAATGTTTATTGAACATCTATTATTCACCAGCCAATGTGCCAGGCCTTAAGAATATGACTGCTCTCACCCTTCACATTTTCTTCTTCCTACATATGTGTCCAGACTTACACTCCAGAGAATTCCTAACACACTGCTGTGAAATAGTAATTCAGCAGAGAGTGACCTGCATTACCTTCCAGTGGTTTCGTGATGGGCCTGGAGTTAGGTGGCTGAGTTGCAGCTCTTTCTCTGCTACCACTGCTGACTTGGGAAAGTCAGTAAACCCCAGTCAGCTAGCTTGAAACATGTCCTATTTCTAAAGATCCTAAATTTAGTCAGGGCAGAGGCACTGTCTCCTGCTGGGTCTGGTTCTTCAGCATCACGAAGACGTCTGCTCTGGCACAAATTCCCAACAGCACAGCCCTCTCTTCAAAACCCAGGTTCTGAATTAACCCAGCTCTACCACTAAGATGTCAATCTCTTTGTGCCTCAGTTTATCATATCAGTTCTTTTAAGGATTAGATGAGTTAAGATTGTGAATTGGAAGAGAGTAAGC